CTGTATCTTGTAAATTAGTCATTAAAAAAGATGAAATTATTTAACTATAACATTGTTTTCATCCCACTAAAATCCTTAACTATCTTGAAATGTACACCAGCCAAATTGAGAAAAAGAAATTAGAATCCGTTTTTAGGAATATTTACAGATATCACTACTGCATGTCAGATTAGTTGTAATAATGAATTCCTATCGAAATGTAAATAACCAACTATTTCATATTAAATATAGTACCGGAACATTTCTTACTGATTGATTCCTTGTCCAAAAAATGTCAGGTGAGAAACTTTCGACTACAAAGCATTTTAGACGCAAACACCGACTGGTTTATGGAGGCGTTTAGTACTGGCGAAAAAAAGGTAACCTTTACTCCATTTGCTTTCTATTAAAGGAGATATATGCTATTATACTTTTAATATTTCATGAAATTAAAGCATACTTGTTTAAAAGCCAAACAGACAATACTTACATAACATATGAGTGCTTCACTACATAATATATATGTGAACCAAGCAAAGCATATCTACATCATACCTTTTTAACTGATTATTAAAAGGGAAGAAAAGCCTCAGGATTTATAAATGACTATATAAATATATAACCTAAAAGGTATAGTACAAACAGTTGTCCGTAAAATCTACCTGTTACACTTAATAATTAGGTAAATTATTGTATCAACATTATTTGAGAAATTGGGAATATTTGGAAAAGATTCTATTAGAAAAACAGATAAATAATATCATGCGTAAAGACATATAAACCAACAAATGTATATAGTTTACTTTATAAAGTTATAGTATACCGCTGAGATGTGCTAATTAATCAGAGCATACAACATTAAGCACGACTCCGTATCCTATTGTTCGACAATATATACAGCATGCAGACATTTCAGCTATCAGAAATTGCCCTTCCTTATCAGACTGGTTGGTTAGTATAGATTAGTCCATTTAAAAATTGTGGAAAAAGGCTGAGACCACATTTAAAGGACCAACGAAGCTTTTTACTTGATTGTCAACTACATGTATATTACCATATCTCCATTCATGGACATACAGACAAATATGAAAGATACTAGAGGGTAGAAGATGATCTCTGGAAGTTTATCTTTATAAGCCATCACTAAGCACTTAATTATGAATACATAAAATTGTATGTAAAAATCATACTGTAAAGTCTCGGATTGTTTATAAGAGCTACGGTTTACGTGACAGAAAACTTAACTAAAATAACTGTTTTCTTGCATTTGAAAGAGAACCATGGGGAAAGATGGAATCCCATTGTTATGAGTACATAAGAACTTAAAGATAGTAGTCCATCAAGACTCAACCAAAACTACTTTCATGTCAGATTAATTCAATAATGTCTACTTTGCAGATACTAACAAAGTACGTCAACATAGCCGTACACCTGAAACTCAGCTGAGATTCTTGTTTTATGACTATATTACTTATTAGTAATCAGTGTTAATCCTCTTTTTCTTGTACCTCGTCCGTTAAATTGATTATCCACAAACTGACTACACTCTTATTGGTTGAAATGCATTTTGCTTGAACGGCTATTTTGAACCTGTCATATTTAAGTATAACTGCTTTGTAATTGACTGCTGTTGTTTTTTATTACCTTGAATGTACGCCCAACTTACGTTAATTATGATTTATTGTCGCAATATTTATATTTATGTATATATTTCTGTAAACGTTTCAGAGTAACCAAAACAGTTTTCTGACTCATATATACCTCAGATACGTTATCCTAGTGAACCTGACAGTTATTTAATTTGCCTCAGTAACAAAATTACGATGAAACGCCAGAATTATCCATGCAGTCAGAAAAGGAAGATTCTTAAGTGAAAAATTGTACAAAAATAAAAGCAATTAAAACTGGGATTAAACAAGCTAAGGGGAGAACTTGGGAAACGGAATTCGCTGCAGAAACTTCAACAAGAAGGAAATCATCCTGACTCCTATAATAATAGTATAATTAAAATATATGATGAACCTATGTCAAAGGCAGTACTAGATCGCGTTGAACGTTATTTAGGGTTATATAAGAAGTACGGAAGTTTGACGGCAATCCAACTGAATACTGGCCCTCCATGAAAGGATTTCAGAAAGCTGTTAAAGAAACGACGAAGGGAGATTTTGAGAAACTTGATTATCTAACTCAGCTTAGTACTGGAAGAACTAACAAAGCGACCGAACATTAAGTCATAATGGACGGATTCAAAGGGTTTTGGGTTAACTGGATATATTAAAAAAAGATCTGAACAAAACCACATAATCATTAGGTCCTTAACAGAAGAAATAGTAAAAAGACCACCGATTAGAAGCGGTGATTTGATGACTTTCTGATTTAGGACAGAAAATGCAAGCATGCAGAACCAAGTTATAACAACCAGGCTACAAATCTGATCTGAATGCTAACAGAACTCTAGAAACTATAATCTCACGTTTACCTTCGAACTTTAGATTTGAGTGCACAGTATTATGCGTATAGTACATGAGTCAAGGCAGGGAATTTAATTTAGATCTAGCTAAGTTTGTAGAAGGATGAGTGGATATCGTAATCACAAGATACAGAAAATTAGCTATAAGTTTGAAATCAGGTAAACAAATTATAAGTTTTTTAACTCGAACATCATTCGGTATAAAGAAAAATATTTTCGCTTCTCAGTATGCTTCTGTTAATAGCCAGTGTGGTTTATACTAATGCCTGTCGACATAAATAGCATAAAACACCGATAATAATTGGAATGCCTGACAGCGGAAGGTAAAGATTGAAACGAGAAGAGAGGAGCAAACTGAAAGCAATCAAGATAACAACAGGAGTGAAGAAACAATGAAGCTCGTAAGAAACAATCCAAAAAAGATGCGTAAATGAGATGTATTTGATGTATGATTTTCACATTTTCCTAAACCACTGTGATTGTGTATTAAACCATAAATTGCTTATCCCCACTTGACTTCTCGTCCTCTACCATATCAACAGTGAAACCGCTACCCTGACCAGTGTGCAACACTGCATGCAATAAAAATTCGAGAAAGATTGACAACAATTGGAGACAGAAAGTTGTATCACTTGCATATAAAAGCTAAACGTATGGCTAAAAGTTTTTGACTTCAAAGAGTATGTACAATCGAACGCTTTTTCAGGTGACATCAAACAGTGTTACATGAAACTAATGACGTTTGCCAGCCTGATCCTGATGTTGATACTAATCACTTTTCAGAATATCGACGCACGAGTAAAGATAAAGCAGCGACGAGAGAACCAAGAGTATCTCTGGCGATAGTACTGGTTTATATAAATGTCTCTGAGTAATCAAAACAGTCTTCTGGCTCAAATAGAGTTTGGGTGTGCCATTTTATTGAATCTGACATTAACTCCAAAGGTATTAAAAAGACAATGTCGCTAGCTATATTGTTCCCATAATGGAAGTAGACAGCCCGTGTCAAACTAACGACTTATGAGCCTACTTATTGTACTTATAAAGGTGATGAAAAAAGGACTCACGATCAGTTGCCGAGTCATAAGGAATCGCAATCTGTTGGCTCTAGAGTAACAGGATTTGTTCAAGATATTGCTGTCAGGCTGCTCTACAGATAGCTTGCAACTTAATAAGAGCTAACTGAAAATACATTAATATCTACCCATAATTAGCTAATAAGACGCCTAAGTTAATAGAAATTACAAAACCAATAATCAGAAACAACATCGAGTGGTTTTTGGGACAACGACAGAGAAGTGAATGATATTTAGAAGGAAAATTAGTAGGATCTAATAAAACTAAAACACCCACGGAATCTCAGCATGACAAGCATTTTTCCAGCTAACTTGTAAGCAGTTAAGATTTATATTCAAATAACTATCTGCATATGTATGAACATCAATAATGCAAATCACTCTCCTACTCTTAACTAAATTCCTATAGCTAATTGGTAACCATGATTACTTACTTTAGCCCTTTGCTCTAACCCTAAACCCTTGCCCTAATACCGTTAACCCTGAATCTTAGCTTCAATCATTCTTCGTTCACCATAATAGATGACAATATGGAAATGTATGACAAACATGTCAGAACAGTATTCATTATAGTTTTGATTTTTTACTACAAATTATTTTACCGGTAAACATTGCAATGTAACATCTGTTAAAGGGTTTTGCGTGTTATGATTGCATCACATAGCCTTTAAATGCTTTAAACAAGATAAGTTTCGACTTTTATAACGCACTCATATGATGCCTCATCTAGAATACAGCATCACTGCAGTCAGTTCACTTCTAATTATAGACGATGAAAATACAAAGTGAACAAAAAACAGGCACTAAGCTGGTGGGAAATTTTCCTAATCTCTCCTGCGAGGAGCGGTTGAAAAGTTCAGATCGCCTTTCTTCATATTGTGGTACCATGTTGTACATATTATGGATTAAATCTTTGGCTTAAAGGTTCAAAGAGTGGTCCCATAGGATAACATGATTTCAGCCTAGGCGGATGGATAGGACCTTAAACAAAACACAAGTATGATACTTAATAATTATGAAAAACTAGGTCATCTAGTAATATTTAAGACGACCAGTACAACTGCTATTAGGTACGTTTCCCCACCTTGACGATACTTGATTTTCCAAATATATAAAGCATATATCTTCGACATCAAATTTAAGATGTTATAATTGATTTATTAGATATTTTAAACGTTCATGTAATTAGACATTTCCGATATTCAATAGTGATTCTTTCACAATCCGAGCTCCCAATTTTGGGGAAAATTTGACCCATTTTGGGGAAACCGCTGTAGTAACAATAATTAATTATTGCTTTATAAGTCTTTAAGTAAAAAAGACCCAACTTCTTGAGTATTGGTAGAAAACGTTGCTGCTTAACGCTGCTAATACTGAAAATCAAGGTCGAATAGCTGCATAGCTAAAATCTACATCCATGTTAAGGTTATATTGTTGCAAATTTTATCAATGAAGAATACTTGTTAGGAACTCACTGGAATTTCAACTAGTTGAACAACATCTCCAGTCCTAATACGACAGTTCTGTCAAGAACGAATTAATGAAACGTTTTGCTAACCTCTTCAGTCGTATAATATTCAATTGTACCCGAGTGTTCTGTTTTACGAAAACAGTAATTGGAGGTTTCGGATTGAGGTATACCAAACCTGTGAAATTCGTAAAGAAGGATAGCATCACGTACTGCTGCGAAACCTTGTAAATAATATCATCATACACAGCTGGCTAAGGAAAAATCCATTATTATGACTACTTTGTCTTACACACTCAAAGGTGAAGAGCTGACCACTCCCCTCGAACTCCACACCAAATTTCAAAAAATTTTGAGATGACATTGGGATAATGTTTCTTGATAGGTACTATTTTACCTGCTGACATGAAATCGAGGCCATTTAAGCCCGTTGACAAGGTTGTACGAACATCTTCAGGGTAGCTTTATAGCAGTCAAACAACAAACAAAATACAACTATGTGGCTGAATCAAAAAGTTCAATAACTGACTCTGAATGCCGGATTATGGGAATGTGTTATAACCAAAAGCGATGATGTCATATAACTGAAATTATCAAAGAATAAATGAGAGTTAAATGAACATGTTTTACCGTAACTCTATAGGCGCATCCTCTTGTTTGGTCAAAATCTGTGAAGGCATCCTAGATAAAAAGAATGGTGTAACTTCTATTTGCTCATAATTAGCTTGAGCATACTGATCTTGGAAGAGCGAGGTACGAAAATAAACGTAACCCAGTAAGAATACGGGATGTGTTTACATACTATGGTAAGAACAATAAGTACTAGTAAGCAATTATCCATGAAAGAGATTAGGGACGTTTTTATTTACAATTGAGTTGTTGGGCGTGAGACTAAATTCGTTACAAGTCTGACTCTTCAATTGTTCTCACCCAACAGAATCTTGGATATAGATTGAGCATTGTTTGAATTTAGCTTACTAAGGCTCAGTTAATCAACTACCACTCTACCGGGTGGATACTTAATGTAAAGATAAATAATTAAGCACGGTGGTAACCGATATGACAAGCCGATTGTTTATCAGATGAACTTCTACATATGGGTGCAGATTAAGAGGACACAGAGCTGGGCAGAGTTTCTGCTCCGTAATTTTTGGGGCTTTTCGACTCAACATGTGGTTCAGAAAAAACGTAGATCCGTAGCAAAAGCAATGATATCTGTGAAGATGTCACAGATATAGTGTTTAACGCTATCGTCTGATATCGCGGCTCATAGCAGTACCCTATGAACAATCGACTGAAAGATATATCTGGATGATAGGAGGGGTTGAAAAGTCTAGTTACAATCAGATCTGCAAGTTTCTTCCTACAGCTTGAGAGGTCTTTTTGAGTCTCTCAACCGATAAATTAATTATGATATGAGACGAGATGACTCACCGCACAAATAAATGTAGTTGGAATCTCAGGACATCATTAGGAAAAGAGGGGAAGGTGCCCTACGTAAAATGCACCGAATCGACTAGGCCCTACACTTAAACGGCCCACATCATTTGCCATCGCGAAAGTACTCAGAAAATGTAGTATTACGTCGTACGTGTACTTCCAATGAGAAAGTGCAAATTTACGGTCTGGTTTTGTATCAGTACATTTATCTTTCACTGTAATAATAGACCTAATCCTAAAATTACAGATTTGTCACGGCCTAAACACCTACTATACAAGATCTTACGCAGAAGTCACATTATCTATATTGATTCGTCCTACTTGATAATCAGCACTATGATATTTAGTACTTCCACAGAACATATTTCGACTGGTGATAAAATAATATGTTTAATGTGAGTAGGGGCAATTTACTCAGTGTGACAACGCCCGCAAGGATGAGTTATGCCGCACCGATCAATACTTTCCGAGATTACCACTTTCGATCTCCTCCAAGTGTTACTCGTTGAATATAAATTTTTAAATAATTACATTGCCAGCTTCAAAAATCATGTGGTCAGGAACCAATACAACTACAAAACCAATACTTGTACCTGAGAACATGGTATAATTGCAGATACCACGACGCGAAGTAAAAACAATTAGACTGGTACAAGTAAACATTTGTTGACCTTAAAACATGACGACCCGAGTAGAAAATACACTCATTATATATTGGTTGTACACCCATTCCAATTATTAATTGGAATACCATCGTATATGTAAAAAATACCAAGATTTAAAAACAAATCACATGCTGCATGTCATGATGGACATAGTTCACATTAGTTTAATACGAGAATATCGGATCTTCAATACACATCGCACAAATGTAAATTAATGTTATATTGAATAAGATGTCACACTGGAAAACGAAATAAATACTACTCCAACCAATCATCACACTGAATTAAAAAAAGTAATATTAACCGAAAATCATGACGAGTAGAAGTTTGATTTTGACTTCTTATCCCGCCATATCAATAATACGATTGATAATTAAAGCCCCACCAGTGTAAATTTAGTAAATGACCATCAGGCATCAATATCCACCCTCATGGAAAGAAATCGAATTTTGGGAGTTGCATAGTGCCTAGTCATGATGAACCAGTGACATGATACGTGACCCGGTGTCACGTCAATACCATAAAGCTTAACCGATTCGGTGAACGCGATCTAGGTAAACCGTTTCGATTTTCATTTTTGATATAATACAAAATCTAAAATCCCAGAAAATTACTATTAGGAACGAAACAGGGGATAAAAATGGGTTAACTACGAGTTCCTAGCTAATGAAAATCATCCGTGTTTGCTGGAAACTTTATAGCTTCTCAACGTCGTGTCGTCTTAGGCCGGTTATCAGATAGCAATAAGGTTATCATTTATATTATTTTATTTGAACACATAAATATTGTTACAAGAGGGCACCAAATATATATGCGCCATGCAAAACAATAAGAATTCGAAGAGAAAACAAGAAAAAAATAACAAACAGATTAGTGTAAGGTAGTGTAATAATAATAATAATAATGGGGGAAACGGAAAGGTACAACCAGAAGAAATCTCTCAGTTAAGGAAGATACAACCACTTTTTATGAAGAAAGTAAGATAAGGTTACAGCAGGAACGCCGCAGATTTCCTTCATACCACGACAATATGTCATACACTGACCACCTCTCCGCTTTTTCCAACCAGTCCCAGCGTCGGAAAATAATGCAGGACGTGGAATTCTCTGGGGCGACATTCGTAGAATATGTCTGTTATAACTTGTGATCCTGTGTACCCTATATATTGGACAACGCAAGGATACCGCCAATCAGAGAGCAGCGAATTATCGATCGAACTGGCGACGCGTAAAACACATGCAAGCAGCCTAGAGTCCTGATTGGTCTCGCTTCCTGTCTAGCCCAGTCAGTTAAGTTCAGAACACCAATCTCAGCCTCTGCAATATGAATCATTTATGTCAAACCATACGAATTTATAAACCAATCAAACCGACCACAACGTACCATAAAATAGAAAATAACATTTGTACAACATTTGACCAAAATGGCTGTAAATCAGGGAGATAGTAATTAATGGACTGGCCATCACTCACGAATGGTAAATCGTATAATAATAGTTCATAGGTCAAAATAAATTTCATAATAAGAGGGACATCAATAAAAACAGTTTAGTTACATAAAAAGTATACGGTAAAAATATAATCATAGTATTGTTCCATAAATGGAAACCAGGAATTAACATTCATTATTCTTATCGGGATATAACAATGTCCAAGCCACCGAAGTTGGTGTTTGAAGGTGGTGACAACAATTGCATCGTTGTCTCTGCACCCGAACACACGATGCCGAACCTCTGCATTACTAAAATGATGTTGCCACCGAATGTCAGCAATCCTTCGGAGACAGCGATGATCGAACACAGAGTCATCTAATATCCTCTACTCGGAGAGGCCAGGTTTCACAAGCATAGAGCAGAACTGCTCTCACCGACGCGTTGTAGATCCGACCTTTAACAGCCAGACTGTCATCACGAAGGCGCCAAAGATGGCCTAGATTGGCATAAGCCGCTCTGGCTTTCACTATACGTGTATTGATCTCATCACTCACTCTACCACCAGCATTTATGCAGCTACCTAGATACACGAACGTCTCGACTACTTCTATCATTATATTTGTGTGTGAGCTGTGATGCTGCCCGGGTGCTCAGACCGAAGCAGGCGGTTTTCTTAGGAGGCCAAACCCCTGACCTGGAGGTCTGACCCACAAGGCAGTGGAGCATCATGGGGAGATGCATTCCATGGTAGCTGGTGATCAACGATTGGTTCATATGCCATTCGTTCCCTTAGGATACTGGAGCCCATGTGCACGATTGGTTTGGGATCCGGTTAAAGCGCCGAACATTCGCTTTTCGTCCTCTCATTTTCGTAAACAACAGTAATGCCACAAGAAGGCAGTGAGTCGGACTTCCCTGGCAGAGGCTGTATACGCGTGGCTGTGTGAGTGCTTTCGAAGAGGAGAGCGGACTCTCCCCACTCTCGGCTGTACCAGGGCATTTGGAAGCAGGAGCAAGGTTACGTTGCAGTCATTAACTTATGAGGATCGCACTACAGTCACAGAATTTTGTTGCTTGATTTTTTGTTAAGAAATTAATAACAGGAAAGATCGCCGTTTAAGCGTGCAGCCAGTCAATGCTGGTTTGTCTTCAGTTCTGTTTGCATTGATGACATAGCATTTAGGTTGGTAGAATCGAGAGGTCGACGTGACGAACCATGACCAGAAGAAACGCGTGTACCAAGTCACGGAGAATTCGGAAGTTGCACGAAATCTCCTGGATGTCAACGTGTCGCGCCGTGGTGTTTGGTCACAGTGCGTTTAACGAAAGCTTCTAATGCATTAGGATTTATAAGTAACACAAGTGGGGGAGCGTCAGTCTGTTGTGATGGGTTTGGATATGAGAGTAAAGCTGAAGGATGAGATAAAACAAGTGAGACCTGTATTTGACCAAATACGACTAGCTGAAGATCTCATTACTCCACCCCTAAACTTCAACAAGCGGGATACAAAAACTACAGAATGGTTCCATAAGCAAGACTGACTAAACGTGTATGTAGCGTGACGAAATAGGATCTGGACGGAAATCGCTCATTCTCAGATTACTTGCGAAGATGCCCATGACCATGTCCTGTCCGTTCAATGTATTAATAGCATGTGAAAACCAGTAGATCTGCAGCGACCATAAGATATTTATTCATGTGATATTACTCGATTTCTCAAAAAACTTTGACATATTACCCCATAAACGTCTCAATGCAGTACAAAGATAGGTTTAACAAGCCCATTTCTGTGACATGTCTTATAGAATTAGCGCAGTGGCACTGAT